TGCCAGAGCCTCGGCCCGGGGGTGCTACTGCCCCGCGGGTGCGGAATATGCGAGAGGGCGTGACTGCCGTTGGCGGTGCTGGTGTTGTAATAAAGACCTGCAGAAAGGCCGCGTATGACCGGTTCCTACAAGTCACGATGGTTGCCTTTACAGCTCACGCTTTTTCAGTGGTGGCCATAGAGCGTGAGCTCGGTGAGGGGTGACAGTGGGTGCCTCCAGGCTCTGGGGCAGCCTTTGGTTCCCGTGCTGTCCTGGCAGCGTGAGTCAGAGCTGTGCGCCCCGCTCTTGACTCCAGGCCTGAGCGATGTTTCATAACCGTGCTGCTGCTTCCATAAAAGTACAAATACGATGCGCAGCCCTCTCGGGCTCCTCACGGTTTGGAAGGGACTGACGGCCAAAGGCGTTTTGTCCTGTGGCTGCAGAAATGGATGCAGTAAATGGGTGTAGTGTTTGTGTGCGGCTTACTGAGGCCTGTCGACTTATGAATCCATTGGAACTTTCAGTAATGACATCAGGAACAAATCCTAGGTTCCGAGTGGTCAGATGTGTCTGGCATAGATAATACAAGGAGGGAAGCATTTTAAAGCCACATAAAAGTTTTTAAAAGACTCTGCAAATGTCTGCAGAGTTGCAGATTTAAAACAATATGAAAGATTGGCTTGTTTCAATTTATTTTGACCAAAAGTTGTACTCTTGTTGGAAGATTTGTCTAGTTCTATACCTAAATTAAAATTGGTGTGGTATGTCTTGTGCTCACTTCTTTTCTTCAACATAACTGTTGTAACTTTTTAATGTGTATTAAAGTCTCAGTCAACAGCCTAGCTCTTAAATTCTGTATAGTTAAGGTAATTTTAGTCTTGAGTTTTCTCATACTAATTTATTTGAACCTGTAATATGCCATTAAAAGTGGTCTTTCATGTTATTATTCCTTAATAAAAAGGAAAGGGGGATAACAGGGTAAACACACAGCTGCCTTGCTTCACAGTAGTTTATTGCAGTTTCTTTCCCCACAGAGCTATTCAGCAATGAAAATACGGAGCTGTTCGTTTGTTTGTTTGTTTTTTCAATAACTTGATTGTAGGTAGTTATTTTTAGTAGTGGTTTAAGTCAATCTTTTTCAAAGTTACTTTTATGTAAAGCAGAATACATCAGGGATGAGTGCATTTTTTTCTGCTTCAGTAGCTAGAGGAATTGGATTTTTTACATCTTAGAGTTTGTCAAAAGGCAGAAAGGAAAATGGAGAAATAAAGTGTAAGACAAGTCTTGTATTTAAAATATTTTTCATAATGATCTGTTGTTCTTAGCATTTAATTGTAAAGATATTCTTGGGTAAGGATAACTGGAAGATCAGAAGAAAACCAGCACTATGCAAATGCTTTTAGCTTTTGAGCAGGCTGTTAAAGAAGTAGATTGGGATAGCTGAAGTCATAATTGAAATGTTTTTCAAAGCATTTAATGAAGAAAATACTGGTTTCTTATGTTTCCTGCATCTTATTTGTGAGTGAGAATATCAGAACTAGCAATGATGGGGAGAGCATATATGAGGTATTTCTGACTTTCTCACTGAAGCCTTAGAAATGTGTAGTGATTGTCACACATATGTTTTTGATGTACAGGTTCAAGGATTATGTTGTGCTAGGTGGGAGGAGTGTTCTTCATCAGTGACTTGGACTGTTTCAAGCATTTTTATGTGCACAGGTAAAACATTTATAGAAGTGATTTAATGTTTTAAATGTCTGTATGAAACTGGTGATGGTTTTATGTATTTATTTCCACCTAAGGAGGTACATGGTGTCAGGTCAAAGTGAAATAGCCAAGTGTTGAATTTAGAACTTGGATTGGAAGCTGACTGGAAATACTGCTGCAGTTGCAATTAAAGAAACTTCAGAGTTTTAAAATCAGAAATGTATGAACTTTCATCAATTATTTTAGCAATATTTATTCAGATATTTATTATTGTAAACTCTAGTCTAAAGTCCTGTTAATGTATGGTATACCTCAGAGGAGATGCTGTTGTATTGTGGGTAAACATGTTTTATTAGAATTCTTGTTTATTTACTGCTTCCTAAAATGTTTATCTCTTCTATTATAGATTTTCTGTCCTTTGCTAATATATTTCCCGAGATATTGGAACTTTGTTTTTGTTTGTTTATTTCCTTGAAATAGGAATTAAGATGGATGAAACGTTTCATTTGTCATAGCAGCAGCAGGACAAATAAGGTGGGTATGTTGAAAGATTACAGTAATATCTTTACAGAGTGTTCTAGGTTTTGATTCTGTGTCCATCTGAACACAAAGACAGTTTTTGCCTCTGTGTTTGAGTTGCTGTTTATTTATCCATTTGAAATTCTTTAAGGTCATTGAGGGTGTACTCCATTGGGCTTGTACTCCAGTGAAATTGATTGTTTTTATAATTTCCATAAAAGATATTAGTGGTTCAGCAGCAGGAAAGTATATTTTGATGCTCATCCTTATTTGCTGTCAAGACAAGACATGGACTTGATTTGCTAAGACTTAATACTTCATGTTGGTGTTTTAATTCACTTACAGAGATCCAGAACATGTTTTACTTAAAAAGATTTTTTAAAAACAAATTTAAAACATGACCTCTTATTTTTACAAGACTAATAATATTGGCAAATAAGAGAAACAGTGCTGATTGAGTAATAATTGAGCTCTTTCTCATGGAGTATATTTGCATGTTTTTGTCAAAGTTAAATGAATTACAGACTTCTTCACAATGTAACCACCATTAAATTATATGACAGAGATTTTTATTTTTTAATTTTTTTTTAATTTTAAAAATAAAAACTTGTGGGTTGTTTTTTAAATTTCATTTTTTTCTTGTGCTGATGTAATAAAGAGATTCTTGCTGCCAGCTTAAAATGGCATTTTGAGAATGCTGTTGTCTTTGTACTGTATTTGTTGGTCTTGTCACCTCATGAAACCAAAGAACAACGGGGTCAAAACCATTCTATTCAAATATCATGAAGTGTGATATTTGCTAATTGTGTCTTTGATTTATTGTACTGTAGTACTGTATTTTCTGGTATTAGTTTGTCCCTAATTGGCTGATTAAACCTAGTGTCAGCAGTATTCAAGCATTACTTTTTTAAAGGCCTGATTTCGTGGGTATTTATAGTGGAATGGAATGTTCTAGGAGAGTTAGTGTGGTTTGTGTAGCAATACATTGTAGTCTGATAACTCTTCCAGTTGATATCAAGAACATAATCAAAACACCATAAACCTCAATGTGGTAGAACTGTGCTGTGTATTGAACAAGGGTGTGAAAGGGCATCAATTAAGGAAAGACTGTCTTTGCTTTGTCACTTCCATCTTTTACCATTTTAGGAAAGAATGTTTTCCTCACCTAAACTGTGCACTGTCCTTTTTCTCTTTGGTTCTTTTCTTGCATCTTTTTGAAGGCTGTGCAATACTGGAAGCCTTATTTGAAGGGAAGCTGGCTGGTGTCCTCATGCCAGGAGAAGTTTAGTACTTAGCTGTTAGTTCACCTTGAATTGTTGCACAGATGGAAAGGAAAGAATGTTATCAGTAGCTCAGTCCATCTTTCAGAATTGTAATACATTGTGGTCACTTCATTTGTCGTTAACCTTTTATTTTTGCAGAATAATGAGATTTTTTTTCATGGAATCGTATAAAGAGTAAAATTATGGAGTATTGAATCATAAACATGCTTTTTTTTTTTTTGAAGTGTGACTTTCACTTTTAGAGGCTGCTATAGGATGTTAATTTCTGTGTATGCATCATGTTTCATTCTGTGGCTTAGCAGTTTATTGTTTTTTAGAAAGTGTAAACCCAGGATTGTTGGTTTAGAAAAAGTGTCATGGTTAATGCCAAGAAGAGGTCATGTGGTGAGCTTCAGAGCTGGGCTGTCTCAGCCCTGCTGAAGAGCCTCAGTCACTGCAAGTTGCTGGGGAGACAGGAGTGTTCTTGTGGCTCACTTGGGTATTTGCAGGTCCTAAAAAGATGGAAAGCAGCTTGGATAATTTGTTGGATGGGTAAAGGAGTTGGGGGGAAAGAAACAACTTATGGGAGATTTACTAGGATCTGTCACAGAAATTGGTTTGGGATATTGGCTTGGTTGTAAGTTACAGTTCCAGGGAATATTTTTGCTGTTCAGGTATGAGTGGCAGAGCAGTCAGAGCTGTGTTCCCCTACTCAGTCTTTTTCATGAAGTCCTTTGATACCAGTAGCTGAATGCTGAAATGTCTGTAGGAATTATTTAATGGTTTTATGTGACCCCAAAGCAGAAACCAACTTGAAAAACCCCTCAAAGGTGCACTATTCAGCTGTGAAGGACAATTGCAAAGGACTGTGTCTCTTCTTTTGGGCCAATACTGTGAAAGTGGTGTATGGTGACAAAAAAAATTACATCTTAGACTGATGTCATTGCTGTTACACCTGTGCTTCTTTGCCACTTCTCTTATATGTATATTTGTGGTTATTTGGGATGAACTGTAGAAAATAGGGATTTTACAAAAAAATTTACTGATTTTATTGTTTTGAGCACACTTTAGTCTTCTGCTGAATGACATAGAACTTAATTTTGGTGGATTTTTTGGCCATGACTGGTTGGTCTCCTAAGGGAGACTGCAGTCTGCTGATTGTGAGGGTGTGTGATCTCACATTTATATCAGGCTGTGTCCTTTCAAAGAATGCTACATACACCAAGGCATGAAGTTCTGACAGTTTTTGCTCTTCTTCAGCTCCATCAAAACAGAGCTGCTGGTGGAGCAATAAGGTAGATCCATGTTTTTAGAAAACAGGTTAGTACAGCTGACCTACCCAATATTGGTCTCTGCTAATCATGTGCAGTGTCCTAAAGATAAAACAATACAACCCCTCAAAATACTGTTAGGGAATGAAAAAGGATCAGTCTATAGAAACCTGCATAGTCCTGTTGTGTATGTAAGTGTAGTACTCTGTGTGTGATGATCAAGCACTTAGAAGTTAGCAGCCTGGCAGTAAATTAATATGGATCTTCACTGGGTTGTGTTGCTTTTGTCATCAGCAGATTCTGAGGCTTTATTGAAGCAGGAAAACAAATCAGTATTGGATTTAGAAAAAAGGAACTGTTCTATATTACAGGACTCAAATGGAGACCACCCAAATGCCTTCAGCTGGTTTCTGTTATTTGCACAAATAGTTTGTTCCTTTAGCAGAGTGTTTAAGAACAGAGAGTCAGGTCAATTGCTCTATTATGTTTTTCCCTAAACAGCAATATTAAGCAAACTTTACAGTATTGTTCATCATTGAGAAAATAAGTCTTATAGATTCTCTTGGTTTTTTTAGCTTCCAGAGAAAAATAGTGATAGGCTGTTGTGATTTCAAATCTTCAAATTATAAATATAATGCATTGTGTTTTTGGAAACTTTTTGTAGTTTTGGCTGGATTGTACCTTGTAATGGCCGGTATAGTATCTATTAGATCTAATGGTATTTAGGAAGTTAATTCAGAGATGTTATATATTTTCCATAGTTCTGGTAGAGTAAGTAGGATGCAGAATATTCTTGTCCTCCATAGTATGATTTATCTCTTTTATTACAGTTTTAGTAAAAAATTCAGCAGACCTACGCTTTGAAAAACTGACTTGTTTTTGTGCCAAAGCACGCTTGGTTCCTTATTGAAGACCTAAAAGCAAACAGTCCTGGGCAGTTAGCTTTGCTTAGTGTGTGTTTGTGTTCTCCTGTAAACCAGTGATTTTCTTTCTGGGGGGGTGCCCTGATAGGCAAATGAGAAAGATTTGCAGTCTGTAATTGGTGAGTTACAAAGAATAAATTATGCTGAAGGACAAAAAAGCAAAGACTGCCTGGCCCCAAATGATGTCTTGGCATGTCAGTAATGCCACATACTCAAAGTAGGGGACTGTGGATTAAAAATCTTGTTTCTTCTCTTTACTTCTCACACCTGTGTTCATACTTGCAATCAAACTAAACAAAGTGTGATGGAGGATAAAGTGCTGTGCTAAAAATCAGTATCTTCCTGTCATACAGCATGCCATCACAGTGGATGTGGTGCTGGATGCCTCTAAAAAGGATGTAGAGAAGAAGGGAATCGGTGAAGAGTCTAAAAAACGAATCTGTGGGGATGGAAATTGGCTTTTATAAAGATAAATTGGAAAAAAAAAAAGAGATTGTTTAGCCTTTGAAAGGCAGTGAATATGAAGTAGTATAACGTAAGTACACAGGAAGATGAATGGTTTGAGAAGTAACTCAAAAGCTGTTGATTTTTTGGTTCATGCTCTAAGAATAAGGGGACATTCTGTGAAATTCGGGTGACAAAGTGAGAAAGGAAACTTGAGAGAGGATCTATTTCTTAATAAACTGGTAAGACTGAGCTCTGCAGTTTAGGGATAATTTTAATTTAGAAAAATTCTAATGAAATTGAATGAGTTAGAGTGCAAGAATATTTACACAGGGTCAGGTTACCTTTTCTCCTTAAAGAATATAATCCCTCATCTTTTTGTCACTTGCAAAATTATTTTTTCTATCATGATTTTTAATAAAGCTCATCTAAAAACCGTGTGTTGGTGGTGTAAGTGAAGGAATTAAGTCTGTCCCTAGTTTGTTTATGGGAGAAAGAGTTACAGCATCTCACTAATTTGTTCTCTTTCCCTGTATTGGGTTATATCTAGGTGAGACACCCACTAGGAAATTTATCTAGTTCCTTTTGTAGAGTGCACTGATTTACTTTGTTTTTCTTGTAGATATTGGAGAAGAGGTTTTGGGGATTAATATCAGCCTCCTCATGAAATTGGAAAGAATTTATGTAGGCCAGTTTTTTGTGTGACTTGCTACTTGTGAGACACTGTTCTGTTCAGCTTTGATTTTTCTGTTGCCTGGGCTCGTGCATGAAGTTGGTGTTCCTGCAGTAATTTAATTGGAGTCAGTACACAAGTTTGTTCTGTACCTAGTGATGGAATATTTTGGGAGGATGAAATGAGCTAACGCTGGCCTTCTGTGTCAGCCTGCCAACTCCCAGCAAGTATGTAAAAAGTCATAAAAATAGCAGTGGGGGTATCTTAATTAAATGAGCATGCTTGTCGCTTTGCCAGTCTTTTCTCTGGGCATGGTTCAAGTCCTAGAAACTGTTTGCTTTCAGTCTCTATCAAACTCAAATATAAAACTCTGTGATAAAAGCATCAGGAGTAGTGTTCAACAGGAAAAGACTGCAGAGTAGGCTTTTTCTCATTCCCACTT